ACTTAATATGTGCTGGGCATTGTTTTTGTTTTTGCCACAGGATGTGTGTTTCCTGTTTTAAACTTTTATTTTGAGATACTTATAAGTTCATGGGAAGTTACAAAGATAGTACAGAGAGATCCTGTGTGTACCCTTCACCTAGTTTCCCCCATGATATAATTAGTTTAGATACTTTAGTACAGTATCAAAACAAGGAAAGTGACATTGGTACAATGTGCGTGCATAGTTTTCTGTCATTTTATCACATGTAGATTCATGTAACCACCACTAAAGCAAAGATACAGAACTATTCTATCATCACAAACATCTCACTTGCATAATGCTTTATTTTAACTTGCCATAAAAACCTTAAAAATAAGTCTTGTACTCATCTCTGTGAAGTGGGTTATTAAAGTTGATCTTTTATTCTGGGAGGTGTGTGGAGAGGAAGCCCATCTTCTTTCAATTATTGAGGAAATTAATAAAGGTGAAAAGGAAAATTTCTTCTTATGGATGAGTTCTGAGAATTGTAGATGAGTAGGTCTGGTTTCTTATGAATACCTGGTAGTACTTCAACTTTTATTTTAATCACTGCATTTTCAAAAGGCTTTATTAGACATAAAAAAAATTTTACTGAGCTCACATTAATGCTTATAAGTTTCACATTCATGCTTATAATAGAGGTAGGGCACACTTGTAGAGAGACTGAATTATAAAGTAGGATTTATTTGGTGATTAGAGAAGTAGTTCATGGAGATATCAGGTGGTAGTAGAAATATTAGGTTTCCTAAATGGCTAGCATTTCAAAATTCCCCCCAAAGACAAGGGTACCATATATATCCTCTTGGAATTTGTTTATCTACTTAACTTGCTTAAATTTGTAGTGTTGATATGATTACTCCTAAGAAATCTTTTCTTCATTTTTCTCTATATTGTCTAATATTCTTTCACAGTGGGTGGCTTCACTCTGTGACTTCTCCCAGGGCTCAATCCTGGGCCATCTCCTTGTAGGTTAATTTAGGATTTCAAGGTGAAGGATGGATTACTGTCCAACATATGAAACTTTTTACTTTGTGGTCATCTTATGATATATATGCATTAGTTTCCTAGGGCTACTATAGCAAAGTACCATACACTGGGTGGCTTAAAACAACAGAAATTTATCCTCTCTCAGTTTTGGAGGCTTAAATCCTAAATTAAGGTGTTGGCAGGGAAATGCTCTCTCCGAAGGCTGTAGAGGAAGATCCTTCCTTGCCTCTTCTCAGCTTCTGGTGGCGTTTCCTGGCTTGTAGATGCATTGCTCACATTTTGCCACTGCCTTTGTTTTCAGTGGAGATCTCTCCATGTGTCCCGATTTCTCTCTTTTTATAAGGACACCAGTCATATTGGATTAGGGCCTACCATAATTTAGTATAATCTCATCTTAATTTGATTATATCTGCAAAAACCGTATTTCCAGAAAAGGTCACATTCCACCAGTTCCAGGGTTTCAGACTTGAACATATCTTTTGGGAGGACACAATTCAACACACAACATGATGCAAATTAAAGTAAAATTTAGAATATAATCCTTACTGGTGTTCCAGGTAGGCTGTGCCTTAGTAGAGGCCAAAATCTACATGTGTTTTCAAGATAAAAAATGTTCATGAAAAATTTTATACTGAGAATTATTGAATCTCAGTTGCAGAAGAGAACTTTATTGACCCTCCTTCCTAACTCCCTCAGATAAAAGGTAAGGGACTGATGCCTGGAGAAATTAGGTGATTTTATATAAAGTCACACAGCTTGGATGAAAATAAAATAAAAAATTATATCAGAAGAGCTTCTAGAGCTATTATTGTAGTCACAATTTGAAATTTCCTTTTAAAAACTCCTTATGAATTAGCTTTAGCCCTTATCCTTAAGAATATATTTTTCTAAGAGTGCGTTTCCCAAAATGTTGAAAGCAAGGAGCACTGTGAGATGGCCTGCACACATTCACAAAGTTGGG